AGAAGAGAAGAATTTATTAGGGCTTCAAATTCCACAATTTTTATAACCCAAGGATGACAATCGTGTGAAAGGTAGACTATTTATTTGGGATTATAAAATCTGATGGTGAAGTTTTATGTTTTTACCTCTCTATAAAGTTTTGTTAATCCCTTGAGTATCTTACAGCTCTTATTAGGAAAGAAATTTCCAGAGATAAGCTTGACAAATCAGATCATAGATTTCCACTAAGCTTTACAGCCAGAGGACAGGCACATCCAAGAGCCAACTGGAAAACATTTTTAAATCATTGTCAAATGAGCAGTGTCAAGTCAGCAGAGCCGTGAGTCAGTGAATAAATGCAGAATTTGACTTACGGCTCCCACTCTATAATATTGCTTATTTTGCTGGATTTTACAGATCTCACTCACAAGAACCATTTTTCACAAACTGAAGCATTAGTGTTTGACCGAGGTGACTGCTTCCAGCAGCAAGGGCTGTCTGGATGTCTGCATGGAGTCCAGTTTAGCCTAGCACCACATGTACCTTGTCACTACGAAAGCTGTGCATATTGACCATATACCTGAGCCCATTCTTTCCTGACATGTAGTTTGCTGCATACATTGTGTGTATGGGATGTAGCAGAGTGCAGAAGTGCCCAGACTCATAATTATCAGATTACAGGACGTGTTCTCCTCATGTACGCTAAGTCCTGCAGGTGGACATGCCACCCTTGCTGATTCAGGAGAGATGTTTTCCTTACCCCATCTTTGCTCACCTTGCTCACACTTAAGAGATCGGAAAATACAGTCTTATCTCAGTCAACCCTAAATCACTGTGAAGACTCTGGCTGGGATAGATGGGGATGCTCAGAGCACAAGGCAGATTTCATTTTGGTTTTTAGGGAGGAAACACATTTTTCCACAACAGATGGAAACGCAAGAGACTTGTTTCATCTGCTTAAACAGAGGTGTTCAGCACCACCTGAAACGTCTTTGGAGATCTCTGATATCCACAGGGGCTGTCAGATAAGGCAAATGAGTAGCTGCCTGAAGATGCCAAGATGCAACATCTTAAATAGCACCAGGCACCTATGTTTAAGCTCCTTGATCAAGCCCAGCATGCCAGTACTGAGCTCCCATTTCCAAGAAAGGAAGAGGAGGATTTTAAGGAAAGGAGAAGACCTCAGAGTCACAAATATGTAGCAGGAAACCATGCAGTTTCTTTGACCTTAAAGAAGAGAACTGATTTTCTTGTTTTCCTGACCTAATTGAAACAAACTCTAAACTAGAGGCTTTAGCAGGATATGCTCACAGTTGTGATATCAGTGGATTAGTTAATTTGCCTTTTAGGCCAACTCCATGTACTGGGTAATTCAACATTTTAGCAAATTAAGAATCTGAAGCTTGATTCTAATGCTGGAACAAATAGATCTGTTGGCTTTTATTAAATTACAGTTTTGATGCTAATGGTGTCCCCAGGTTTTAAGCCAAGGAATATAAAAAGCCCACCTGAAGGCAATGCATGATTTTATTTTGAAACTCCCCACCAAATCTTTTTCATTTATCTCTCACCATCAAGTAAGACTTAAAATACTTTGAAGTGACATGTTTAAGAAATACTGAAAAAAGAGACACTACAAGTTACTGGGAATGTTTTTGTTGAAAGCATTCACAAAAAGCCCTTCCTGTATATATGACATTCTTCAGATATTTAAAGGGAGGGATTAAAATATTTAATTGAATTATAAAATTTTTGCAGAGGATTACAGAGTTTCCCTGCCTAAAACATGAACGTTGTAAATCGTAGCATGATTCTTTAAGCTGTCCAAGTTTTGTTGTGGTAAGGCATATCTAGAATTGAAAGTCTAATAAATATTACTGCTTCTCTTTCTAGTTTCCATAGTCTGTAAACATCTCTTTCATCCCTTTGTTTGGCAGATACTTTTTTCTTTCCTATTTGCATGCTTTAACAGATCTGAATGAAAGGCATGGCTTGGTTCTTCATCCTGTCTTTGTTGTAGTGCCCAACCAAGAAAAGGCCACCTGGCTCTTCCTAGGGGAAAAACAAAGAGAAAAAAAATTGTTTTACTGAAGCTAGATGGGTGATGAGAGATAGGGACCAACCAAGAGACTTCCCCACTTCTTATTAGCAATTTGTTGATCATGGAAAGTGTACATCAGATCCCAGCGCTCGGGACTGGAGCAGCCAGCCAGCTCTGCTCTCCCAAATCTTGGTCTCCAGGGAATGGACAGATGGATGTGGGTAACCTAGTTGAAAGCAATTTTAGACGGCAATCCAATCCCCGGTGGAAGGATTGTCCAGTGAATTGACTGGGTCGTTGCAGTGCCAGCCTGTGGGACTGCCAAGACATTTCCAGGCTGGAGCGAGAGCAAAGCTGCCTGTGGGGATTACGGTGCTCTTAATTTAATAATAAACTTTTTGTTTAACAGCAAACTGTTAAAGTCCTGACAAAGGCAGGAAAGAGTACAACATCAAGTAAGCAGGTGTGGGTCCATGATTGCTCTCAGGGTGCCTTTCATGGTAAATACTTACTAGAGGGCAAATACTGATGCTTCCCATGCGGTGTGAGCATCCCAGCTCCCCGGTGGCTGCATCTGGACCTGCGACTGACTGTGCCATTGAGTGCTTTGGCCGGAGATGCAACCCCTGCCCGGCAGGTTGGCACTGGAGCCTGCCATCCCTTGCCTCTCTGCGCCGGTCGGTGCGTGACTGCCTCCTCTTCCTCTTGTCCCAGGTAGGGAGTCGAATGGTGATCATTGCCGGTGCCTGCGCCATGCTCCTGAGCGGCATCTTTGGGAAAGTTGGGGCGATGCTTGCCAGCATACCCACCCCTGTGATCGGAGGCATGTTCCTTGTGATGTTCGGAGTTATCACGGCAGTGGGGATTTCGAATTTGCAGGTAACAGCTGTGCGAGCGCCATTTCATCCCTAGGGAAGGGAACTTCGGTTTCAAGTCAGGTTCTGACCAGGCTAGTCGGGTACAACTGCGCTGCAGCCGATGCAAACATTTACATTGGCAGTTCCTTGGGTGAAGATGAGGGGATGTACCCAGAGGGGCTAAATTGTAGAGGGCTCCCTCATCTGGGCAGGGCTTGCTGGTACCGAGGGCAGCAGGATCACTAACATCCCAGCAGCACCAGGGCTGCTGCTCAGGTCCACTCCTGCACGCAGTGTTTATGTCAGAGCATGTTTCATGAACGCAACAATAATTCACAGATTTGGGTAATTCCAAATGTAATGTATACAATTTCTCTGTGCAGTACACAGATATGAACTCCTCCAGAAACATCTTCATCTTTGGATTTTCTGTATTTGCTGGCCTCACAATTCCCAACTGGGCAAGCAAAAATAGTACACTGCTGCAAACAGGTAAGAAGCAAGATCAGAAGCATTTTCTGTAGCATAAAAATGAAGCAAAGGGTGATCCAGAGAAATCTTCTAAAATGCAGGGTTTTGTGATAAACCGCTGAAACCTGTGCTTTGACTGTTTCTTTCTGGGAGGGCTGTTCTTGTCTTTTGCTGTGATGCACAGCTCTGGTGCAGAAATCTCTGCTCTTGATCAGTGACTGCACTTCACCAGATTCCTGTTGGGCTAAGGATTGCAGAGCACTTCCCTGGGACACATTTCCTGGGATGGGACAAGGAAATACTCCAGGGCTGTATCTTGATCAAGATCACAATTAATGAGGCTTTCTTACATGCTCACACACAAGAAAACTTTGTGCTTCCAAAATGCAAGAGCAGACTCCTCTACTAAATTCCATCAAGTTCACTTTATTGAAATTTCCAGTCCTCCAACAGTTATGCCTTCATTGTGTCTCATGTGACTAATGTGTTCACCACAAAGGCCATAGTGCCCTCTCTTAAGGAATATATGGCACGCTGGGCGAGCTGTTGAAAGAGCTGGGCCCACAAATCACACGATCTATAGATGGTCTATCAGACGCTCAGTGCCACTGGGCTTTGCTCATGTCTATTAGCCCTCACAAAGAAACATCACACCTGATTAACTTGTGGTGAAATCCCATGCTAAATATACCTGTATTTTAGGGGGAACTGAAGCTTGTGCTTTTGTGGGGAACTGAAGCTTGTGCTTTTGTAGGGAACCGCTTGGTGTTATGTTGTGGAGGTGCAGAACATGTTTGAAGCAGAAGATGGCTTTTTCTGGGACAGTGTTGTGGTCTGCACTGTTACTAGGCTCTTAATGTATTGATGAGTCAACTCCTGCCCACCAGCAGCTGGGTCAGTGAATAATTATGCGTAATAAAAGTGTAGGTCTCAAACTGGCAGTGAGATTAATCTCCCTCGCATTGACAAATCTTAAGCTCTGCTTTGGGATTTGCAAGTCTTGCCTAAACAAGCATGCAGCTTGCAGCCTCTTGGCAGTAGGTATGTTGCTGGTCAAACATGTGTCTCTGCATCACCATCCAAAGCTTTGTTTTTCTCCTAGGAATCATCCAGCTGGACCAGGTGATCCAGGTGCTTCTCACCACTGGCATGTTTGTGGGTGGACTCCTGGGGTTTTTCCTTGATAACACCATTCCAGGTAGGATTTGCTGAAATGAGCTAAGTGACTAGTTTGTGCCTGTCCTAGGGTTTGTTTCCTAGTATTTTTTGTCTTCATGACTACTGCTTTATGGGTAGAAGCTGTGCTATCAACCATGAAACACCATGTGACTGAACTCCTCCCAGAGAGGAGGGAGGAACAGGCGACATCGCTGAAATGGTCTCTGGTTGGAAAACAGCAGCTTATCAAAAACTAACTCATTTTTCAGCAGCAGCCCAGTCTAAGGAAAAGCTTTATCTGGGAAAAAATGTCTTTTAGAGGAAATGCCAGCCTAGAGCCATGTTGCTGGTTGAAAGGAGAGAGAAGGGCAGCTACGGGAAGTGGAAGGAGCCGACATATGCCTCCTCATGAGGGCTGCTAAAACAGAGGCTGAACTGGTGCCACAGCAGTGGAAAGGCTGATGACCAAAACCAGTATACAGCACCTGCAGCTGGCACTCACAGACAGCAAATAGGCTCCGATTTTCATCGAGCATGGGGAAGGATGGAATAAGAATAGGAGAGAAAACCCTCTACTACAAAAAAAAGAGCAGGAAGGACAGTGTTAAGCAGATTCTTTTACCATCCCAGGCTTCTTGGAAAGCCAGTCTCCTTTTGGCTCATTCATTTTCTTGTAGCCCTTGATCTTCAACTCCTCTGGGCAGAATTTACAGGTGTGCTCACTTCCTTTCCCAAGAAGGACTCAGCTGCCACAATAACAGGCACTTAGCAATTCCTTGGCTAGGGTAAATGTCTGTGATCAACTAGTAATTGCTGGCTAAACCTTATGCCCCCACTCTGCAGTATCTGGGCAGTTATCATCCAGCCTTGCTTCCCTAGTACTCTATGACCCCTCACTTGGAACAGTTCTTGGATGCCCCATGGCTTGTGAAAACCTGTCTTGGTATACTAGATTCCCATGCAGAAGACTGCTTATCTGGAAGCTGTTGCAGGAAGATGGGTATTGTCTAGAAGATCATTAGTGAATTTTTGTAAAGAGCTTTGGAGCTAGAAGGATTTCAGTGCAAGGGATCTGTATGTTCTGTTGAGTCTGCTGGGATCTGAGAAGTGGCTGTGAGGCACACAAGGTAGTCCTATGCTCAGAACACCCGCTGTTTTAAACACAATGATCTCATTTTTGCTGTTGCAGGAACACAAGCGGAGCGGGGGCTCCTGGCGTGGAAGAACAGCCACAAGGGAGAGGCGAGCAACTCTCAGCTCATTTCCAAGGTCTATGACCTTCCATTTGGTATAGGCACCAAATACTGTGCTGTCTCTTGGTTTCGGTATCTCCCCGCTTGCCCCAAAAGACTACCTGGTGTCAAGGGAACGGATGAACTGAAGGCTGCTGGACAGGAAAGCGGTGTTAAAGCAAGCCCAGAAAGAGACTCTGAGATAGGTGCTGATACAAGGATATAAGCATCTCGCCTGCAGGTGAACTCATCTCAGAAGCAGAGGACTGAAAAGTGTGTCTGCGAGCCTCCATCATTTGAACATGAGCTGGCAGCTGTTAGAGGCTGGAGCAGGAGAATGATAATGTCTTTCCTTTCCCAGCTCTGACCCCTGCAGCAATGGCGACCTTCAGGGAGTCATTTTTTTTCCTCTCTGCTCCTGCCTGCCCACCTCTAGGAGGAACATAATCTCTCTTTGTGGAACACCAAAGCCCAAGAAATGCCTGGGAAAGATGTTTGTTTTCCTTCCTTGCACTGAGCCTTGGGGATCCCAAGGAGCAGCTGTTCAGCTGAAGCTGAGATCTTCCTGTCCCCGTCCTGGCTGCTGAAGGGGCCACAGGAGAAGGCATCCCTGATGTGGGCCCTGTACCACTCTCAGGCATCCCTTGGGCTGAGGCTAATCCCCACCACCTTAAAGATCCACAGTGGCAATGCTCACCTCTCAGCTTGTGGCTTACACTTCATCCTGGCCAAGGGGAAGGAGTGGGCACCTCTAGGTCATGATTCATCTCGTTCCATGTTCCCGTAATTTAACATCAGTCAAATGAATGTTGTTGTAAGAGAGGCATCTAAGGTTGATGGGCTGGCCTGCCTTCTGAACGTGCCTCTCCCACCTTAGACTGCAGAGGGAATCTAGAGACTTTACTTAGGTTCTTGACCTAACAGCTTCACTGAAGTGAATCCCACCTGGGCTGCTGGGAGCAGTCTCAGGAGAGCCAGCTTCCCCAGGGCACCAAACCCTACAAAAATGAAGGAGAAAACTCTTTGGCTTGCAATCCGATGCATTC